TTGGCTTCCAAGTCCGCAAGGAGGTAGGAAGAAGATCCGCCTCTATCATGAATCTGGAAAAGAAAGCAGCCTAGCTCACTGTTGTATGAGTGCCCCAGCGTTCGCTTGCCATATTAAGAAACATAACTTGTATGACCAAATCTTTGTTGCATATATGCGCCCAGTAAAGGAAGGAGAAACAAAGGAAGAAGTCAGGTCCCAAGAGATTGAGAGGATCCTGAAAAAGTTCGCAGATGTGGCTGAAGCCCCAAGCGGTGTGGTGGAAAGACCAATCTGCCACCGCATTGATATCATTCCAGGGAGCGCCCCCCCGAAGGGGCCTATCTATCGTATGTCACCCCAGGAATTGGATGAACTGCGAACCCAACCCCATGAGTTGTTAAAAAATGGTTGGATAAGACCTAGCTCCTCACCCTATGGTGCGCCTGTGCTCTTTGTGCCTAAGAAGGACGGCGGCGTTCGCATGTGTATAGATTATAGGAGGTTAAACGATATAACCGTGAAAAATGCCGAACCATTGCCGCGAATAGACGATTTACTGGATCGCGTGCAGGGAAGCAAAGTGTTCTCAAAGATTGATCTAAAGTCCGACTACCATCAGATTGAAGTTGAGCCGGAAGACCAACATAAGATTGCCTTTAGGACAAGGTATGGGCATTATGAGTTCGTAGTTTTGCCCTTTGGTCTCACAAATGCCCCTGCCACTTTCCAAAGAACGATGAACGAACTCTTTCGTGAATGGCTCGATAAATTTGTTGTGATTTATTTAGATGACATTTTGATTTTCAACAAAAATGAAAAAGAGCATGCTGAGCACCTTCGACTTGTGCTAAATAAATTGAGAAAAGCAAAACTCAAATTAAACCCAAAGAAGTGTGAATGGGCTAAACGTCAGGTGCTATACCTAGCACATGTGATTGATGGAGATGGGGTCAAACCGGAAGATGCCAAGATAGCAGCAATCAGAGATTGGCCGAACCCCCACACCTTGACTGAGTTGCGGTCGTTCCTTGGGTTAGCCAACTACTATCGAAAGTTCGTAAGACACTTTACGATAATAGCTGCTCCCCTTCGCCGGTTACTTAAGAAAGAAGTAATTTGGAAGTGGGATTCAGACTGCACTATGTCTTTCAAGCGTCTGAAAAAGTGTTTGATCAACTATCCGGTTTTGAAAGTGGCGGACCCTTCATTACCTTTTGTGGTCACGACCGACGCTAGTCAATATGGTATAGGTGTTGTACTCCAGCAAGATGATGGGCATGGGTACAGAACTGTAGAGTTTATGTCTTGCCGCTTACCTAACGAGAAGGTGGCCGCTTCAATGTATGAACGAGAGTTGTATGCTTTGCGTGAAGCTCTCAATCATTGGCGACACTACCTTCTAGGGAGGCATTTTAAAGTATACTCCGACCATGAAACGCTTCGCTGGCTCAAAACGCAGGCGCGAATGACACCTAAGTTGACATGGTGGGCTGCGGAAATTGATATGTTTGATTTTGAGTTGAAGCCAGTAAAGGGTAAATATAATGTTGTTGCTGATGCACTAAGTCGTAGATCAGACTTTTCGGTGCTATTGTGACTTATTTAGATATGGGTACTGACCTACAGGAGAAGATTAGAAATGTGTATTCCTCTGATCCTATATATGGAACCATGATTAAGCTAGTGCAAGAAAAGCCAGCAGAGTTTCCCGATCATAAAGTAACTCAGGGTCTATTATTTGAACGAACTGATGTAAATGATAGGCTGTGTATACCCAATAATGAAGAGATCAAAAGTATGATCTTGGGAGAATGCCATAATACAGAAGGTCATTTTGGATGGAAGAAGACCTACGGAACTTTGTTGCGTTCCTACACCTGGCCTCAAATGAAAGCAGACTGTATCGCGTATGTGCAGGGTTGCCAAGTRTGCMAACGAAACAAAARCACYACGCAATCGCCCCTCGGGCTACTTAAGCCCTTACCTATCCCTACCGGCCCTGGAGACTCTGTCTCTATAGATTTCATGGATACTAAGGTCAAAAGCAGAAATGGGAAAACGCAAGTAATGGTCATAGTGGATAGATTCACTAAGTATGCTGTTTTTGTAGCTTTACCTGTGGAAGCAAAGACTGAATTGGTAATTCGGGAATTCTTTAACCATTGGGTAAAAGACTTTGGACATCCCTTAACTATTGTGAGTGATAGAGATACCAGGTTCACAAGTGAACAATGGCAGCAACTGATGAATGTTTATGGCTCTAAGTTGACTATGTCATCAGGCAGACATCCTGAGACTAACGGCCAGACTGAGCAGATGAACAAGATTTTGCAGCAAACTTTACGCATGTACATCCGTCCCGATCAGATTGACTGGGATGAACATTTGCCTAAAGTTGTCAGTGCCTATAATAACTTTGTACATCTATCTACATGTAAGACTCCTATGGAGTTACATCTGGGATGGCGTCCACGCAGACCCATTGATCGGTTAAACCCGGATCAAGTACACAAGCTTCCTATACGGACTAGTGAATTTGCAGTCCAATATCAGAAAGACATTGAGAAGGTAAAAGAAAATATACTTAAAGCACAGCATCAAACGATTGAACAGGCCAATAAACATAGGCGCCCGTTTCAATTTGTTGTAGGAGATTTGGTTTGGGTAAAGTCTAAAGAGTTTGCTCTTGAAGAGAACATCTCTCAGAAGCTTCTACCCACCTACAGAGGACCTTGGCAGGTTCTAGACGTAATTGGAGATGTGGATGGTCCTTCGTATGTCATTGAGATTCCTCCTCATCTACGTACATATCYARYGTTCCATGCGTCCAAGCTCTTACCTTGTGTAACGAATGAGCTCTTCCCAAGTCGCCGATCAGCGATACCTCCAAGTATGGATGGGAAATATGACGTGGATAAAATTGTTGCAGAAAGTACTTACCACACTGGACATAGAGGCAGACCACAACGACAGTACAAAGTGAGGTTTGCATACCAAAATCCTAGTGAAGATCGTTGGTTTACAAGGGAAGAATTGTTAGATTCTGCACCTCATATTGTGTCTGCATATGAAAGCGCAAAGAGAGGGATTCATATCCTTGATAGGTGAATGATTCTCAGAGGCCTTCGAAATTAGGCCGGCGAGAGTAGAAGGGCCTTTACCGATATAGGCCTCAGGCCTTGTAAAAATAAAGAAGCATGGGCCTTGAAAAAGTAAAGCATTGTGAAAAGGTATCTCGCCAGGGCTCAGAAACGTGAAAGCAGGTCAAAGGTCAAGTTCTCTGTCAACAGGCACAT